GTACATAGCTGTGGGCCAAAATGTATACGGACTTGAAAATCAAGAGTACTTTTTTTTAAAGCAATGTCAACACAAAGGAAGAGGTTCCAGCCCATAGATCCATATCTAAACTGTGAAACCTAACATTCAGAGTACTAAAAGATTTCAAGTGAACAGAACTCAATTCTCATCAACTTCTTCTTTGTACTAATGTTATAAGCCTCTTACTTTATAATCATCTCTGGAACTAGACCAAAACTAGAAGCCAGGGAAAGACGAACAACACAGACAGAAGTTAAACGAGAATCCAGCAAACAGGAACTGAAGAGGGAGGTCTTTTAAAGGGGACAGAGACAAAGAGAGAGCTGACGAGGAAATTGACAACAGGTGCAAGGCAGGACAGAGAAACAGAGCAAAGGAGGACACAAGAGGGCAGCAGAGGACAACAAATGGATAACCAAGGAAAACAGGAACAAACAGACCAAGACCCTGACATTAAATATGGTAGAAACTTGTTCAGATCAAGTTAGATTTAGACCTCATTGCTGCAACCCTATAAGTAAAATTGCTGTTACAATCAATGGTGTCTGTTCACCGTTGGATGTTAACATTGTTTAGCATTGTGGTCACACTGTGCATTGCACATCACTCTAATACTGTTTGAGAAAACCAGCATCCTAGACTGAGTGATTATTAATAGAGTAACAACACATTCTCTGTTAAGTGTTGTTAAGTTTTGTTAGTCATTTGGGAGCTAAATTTGAAGATCTTTTAAAGCCGGACATACACTGTAGGATTTTTTGCCCTTTTTGGGACGATTTTCCAATCGTGCAAGAATTTTTTGATCGGGCTGGCTTTCATGATCGTTCGTCATGTAATGTACTGCAGGTAATGAGGTGTGATCAGCCACACACAACCACCTCCCAATCAGGAATCGTTAATTTGGGAGAAAATCAAATGTGTTTGAAATTCAGTCGGCCTTCGTGGGCAAATCAGTGGTGCGAATGAAATTGAGTTCTTTCTGCAAAAATTGACAGACCGTAGTTGTTCAGCCATGTCTTTGTCCAAATATTCAATTCAGTTTTCAATTCAATACAGCATCACCTTTTATTTTTAGGGCTTTCAGCACACAAAATGCACAAATTGCCAAGGTAGCGTGTTTCCCTTAAGTGAGCTTCATATTCCTCTTCTACTCGTTTGGCTTCCAGATAGACTAGTCCGAGTAGCGCCATCTCACTGCGGAGCTGAGTCCGACGTGGTTTTTAGACGTACAGTGTGAGCAGTTAGATCGCATAAGAGCGTCGGGTCACACAGTATGAGAGCATACATCAACAGCCGTGAACTTTTAAACCCTGTGGTTTCGTCGTACAATGTGAGCTGTAGCTGATTGCAACGACTGAAAAAAATCATACAGTGTATGCCCGGCTTAAGTAAGCTGGGTTTAATAAAGCTCACAACAAACCACACATGAAAAGCATAACTTTTGTCATTGATTTCAAGAATTACTTAGACTTAAAAAGAACATTTACAAAATAAATAGGGATGTATAATATTTATGAAAAGTAAAGTAATTGGTAATAAAATAAATGCTAAACTTTTAAATTGACAAACCATGTTTTTCTAGCTCTTCTGTTTATTAGAAAGTTGATTTAGTCAACTTCCACATAAGTTTTGATTTTCATTAACTTGCTGGGGTTTGCATGGTATTTCTCTAAACATCCTTCCATTGCTCAGGGGAAATAAACAAGGAAAACATGTTTGGCTGTAAAGTAAACATTCTCCACCTACATGACCGATGTAGCATTTCAAATAAGAACAATTATTCTTTTTCTTCAGATCTCTGAATAGCTCTAACTTTTTATAATCTGATTCCAGATCCTAACAATTACTATCACAGACGCAATGAAGTCATAACAACTGATGACCTGGACTTTAGGCACCACAGCTACAAAGAGATGAGGCAGGTAAGCAATGTAAAAGACATTACTACCTTAAGAGTACCAGGATCTTATTTCTTAATCAGGAGCATAAAGTGATAAAACACTGTATGGAACAACTATGAGCCAAAGCAAGCCAAGCTGTATAAAAATGTATAAAGGATCCTCAGGCTTTTATCATTACTTATTCATGTAGTTGTCATAAGCAGACAGCTACTGCTTCCATAAAAAGGGGGACAGATGTATTTGTCAGTGTGCATGGTGCGCCTGAGTGGCTGTGATAGTCCAAGCGCTGTGAATGGTAATCTCCTGTAATGAAGTTGAGAGAGGTGTGCAGGGTTGTTTTTGTCCTTATTAATAAATATTCTTTAGATATTTGGTGTCACATAAAATGCAAAATAGCAGCTTTTTTTCAATTCAGAGATTTGAGATGCTTCAGCTGAAATATCAGAATTAATGGACTGGGTTTCTTTGCTTTTCTCTTTTTATCTTTTATGGATAATGTGTCCAGACTGAGGAAAGCTTCACAAAGAAGAGAAAGGAGACTTTTAAAAACTCCTCTTTAAACCATTTCCATCCTTGACATTTTGCCTCTTTGTCTGGGCCATCCCATCACTGTAGTATGCAACATTCTCATGTTTTTGTTCCAGAATTTTTTTATTTCATAAATACTGTACACAGACCCCAAAACAGAAGCAGACAGTAACTTACATTCCTTTAACTGCTTAAGGGCTGTTCTCATCTTAGACCAAATCCACTCTAGGTCTGGGGATACTATGTTGCTGTGGGCATTTTCCTAAGTGGAAGATGTCTATTCATATTAGCAGCACAGACTTAAAAGCTTATTCTATTTCTTTTATTCTAATATGGCTGTATGAGGGGGAAAAAAATGAAAATAGCAGAAAACATAGCTCCTGAAAAAACAGGATGTGCTTCTATGGCTTTGGTAAATAATACTGTACAGGTATATTTATCCAGGGAGTTCTCTATTTAATTAGGGGGAATGCAGGTCTTGTTACTGTTTTGTAATCCTTTATCTCATTATAAAACCTGATATTTGATTAGTGATTTACTTGCTCAGTGAAGTTTAGATTTAACCTGCACCTAATTAAAACCCAGTCACACCTGACTGGCCAACCAATTTGGCAGCAGCTGTGTCCATTGATGAAGCCAGCGACTTCCTCTAAGAGCTGGCAATTCTCTTTCCTGCAGCAGTACTTTGTGTGACCACTGACATCCATGTGGGTAAATGATAATTGTTGCTATTTTAATCAATTCCTGTATGAGCCTGTATATATAATTGCTTTGGGTGCCTCTTCAAAGCTGGCTGCAGGGAAACTAAACAAGCTCTGAGACACAGCTCTGGTGATACTGTCTCTGGAGGTTCCAGTTGTGCTCATTTTGTCGAAATACCCACTATTATGACAATGTGCATGTAGGGTGAAAAACTAAAGACCCTCTCACAGATTTTTTGTCACTTTTAAATGTTCAATACAAACAAATTTTATCATCAGATGAAGCTAACCTACATATATACAACCAAATATTTACATATCCAGAATTGATTTAGTTGAAAATAAAAGCTAAGTACACCATTCTGGCCATATTGTCATCCAAGATATACCAAATGCCTTAATTTTTATCTGCCTCTGCAATATCTCAGTTCAGCTTGACACGCAAAGGTCATACCTATATGGGTACAGGAGTACTTCATCGATTTTAACAGCGTTTTAGTGGCTAATGCATCATGATTTACATTTCCACAGTTAATGAAGGTGGTTAATGAAATGTGCCCGAACATCACAAGGATCTACAACATAGGAAAGTCCCAAAGTGGCCTCAAACTGTATGCCATAGAGATCTCTGACAACCCTGGGGAGCATGAGGTCGGTGAGTTCTTTCATTACTATATGTTCATTACAAAAAGCAAGGAACAGTTTGTAAAGTATAAAGATCAAAACATTTTTACTTATTTTGCTTACATTCTTAATGCCAGGATTGCTGTAGCTTTTATTTAACAATCTTTTCCTCTTTGCTCCCCGCCTGTGAATCCATTGATCAGGTGAACCGGAGTTTCGTTACACAGCAGGTTCCCATGGAAACGAGGTGTTGGGACGAGAGCTCCTCCTCCTACTCATGCAGTTCATGTGTCTGGAGTATCTATCTGGAAACCAGCGGATACGTCACCTCGTGGAAGAGACCAGAATCCACCTTCTGCCATCCGTCAACCCTGATGGCTACGAGAAAGCCTTTGAAGCGGTAGGTCTGCAAGACACCCATTAGTGACCTCATTTCATTAAATGGTTTGAGGTGCAAGGAGCCTGTGTGTGCTTAATTAGTAGCTCTGTTGTGAGATAGTGTGCATCAGAACAAGTTTAAGTGATCCAATGAAAAAGGTAAAGAGAACAAAAACTTCATCTGGGCTTTCTTTTTTTGTTTTGTTTGTGGTTGCTATGATTAAATTAGAGATGAAAAATAAAATAAAAGGCCATGGCAATATCAGTAGATAAAGAATCATGTACTCAACAGTTTCTGCCCACAATTACCAATTGATTAATCAATTTAAATGTAGAAATCCACTTAAAGCAACACTGCATAACCTTTCAAGGTACATCTTTAGTCAGATGTATCCAAGTATTAGGTTATTATCAAAGATTTTTTTTAGATTTTAGATTAATACACAGCACTTGGCCTGCACCTATGCACTTTCAAGGCAGCTCTTCTCATAAAGTCGTAACTTTGTAAATTTTTGAGGATCCATTACTGATTCTGTAACGTGACCCAGAATGCAGCTTATGGAGGTCTGTTTAAACACCAAAGCTAACTAAGTTAAAAGTTGTTGTTAGCCAATAAAACAGATAACGTACTTACCTGATCCAGAATGCAGCTTATGGAGGTCTGTTTAAACACCAAAGCTAACTAAGTTAAAAGTTGTTGTTAGCCAATAAAACAGATAACGTACTTACTTGATCAGACATATGTCTGCTTCCCTAATCTAGAATTTAATTGAGAAGGGTGAACGAGATCTTGTCTTTAGAAATCTTAAGCAGGGTATACACTGCAATATTTTCAATCATTGTACGCAGTTACAGCTCAAACCGTAAGATGTCACTGCAGGTTTTAAAAGTTCACAGCTCATGATGAATATTCTTACACTGTGCGGCCTAACGCTCAGATGCGACCTTACAACAGCCAACTAAATTTTAAACATGTTTGATTTTCTTCCAACATTATGGTTCCTGATTCTGAGCCGGTCATGAGAGGCTGATCGCCCCTCGTTACCACCCTGTACACTACATGATGCACAACACATGATCAGCCTGATTGAAAAATTCTGCTCAAAGGACTCAACCCATAAAGAGAATTGGAGAATTGGTCCATGTGTATGCCTGGCTTTGGACTTAGACTCACACAAACTTTATTGTCATATTGTATACACAGAGTGTATACAAAACAAAATTTTGATGCATACAGTCTTTCAACAGTGAATGAGCAGCTTGGCAGTGAAACGGATATTTCCATTTATAAAGTGCAGCAGTTATCATCAATATAGACAGTGTAGGACAAAAGGGAAACCACTTTAAGGTTATGGGGAAAAAGGCTTTGATATGGAAAGGTTCACTGCAGTGCAAAATAAATAAATATAGTGCAAGACGCAGTAGAACCTCACCACTCTTGTCACGTTCTTCCAGACTGAGGCACTGCAGCCTCCACACCACACAGTGAGAAAGCTGATCAGAGAGCTCTCACTTCCACTATCTGCTGGTGTAGGTGGTCTGCTATCAGATTCCAAAACACAGAGGGAGAACGGTTAATTTATGCCTACAATTATTACCTGATACCACTCTTTAACTTACTTTGAATAAACCTTAAGCCACACAATTCACTTAGACCACCATTATTCCCATGCTGTTGTACCCTTTGACTCAGGGCTCAGAGCTCAGTGGCTGGTCTCTTGGACGATGGACTAATGACGGCATCGATATTCACCACAACTTTCCTGATCTCAACTCTATTCTCTGGGAGGCTGAGGCAAAGAAATGGATTCCTCGCAAAATGCTCAACCATCACATCCCCACCCCTGATTGGTACTTATCCAAGAATGCCTCAGTAAGTCATATTGAGCGTATGTTGTGCGGTGCTTTATATTTTATTTAAAATTACATGTGCCCCATGGCTTTTCTCTTTGTTGACTATCCATTTTGTTTGCTGTCATAACCCACTCCCACAGTGACGTTCTCGCTGAGATTCTGTAGAACGCATGACCCGCAACAGTTCTTTAACCAATGTCCGATATGTAACACCCATATTTTCTCTTGCATCCTTACAAAAGCTGCTAATTTCTGTAATTAATATGGTCTCTTTAAACTGCAATGAAATATTAATGAAACAATGTTAACAATCTTTGTTCAAATGTTTAGTCTCCTCTCTGTGAGACCTCTTTAGTCTGCAGAGTAAATAGAGATAACGTTTTCTACCTACATTATTGTGATGCATCAGGACATGTATTAAACTGCACTCAATGAAGCTGAATTATCCAATTTGTTATATTTAAAACTTGATTGCCAGCCAGCAAGTAGCTTACCAAAGATGGTTATAAATAGCATGTAATGTGAGAGAGGTGCACTGCAAAAAGCTGAAATCTAAATAAGTATTTTTTTCTTGAATTGAGGAGGTAAGTGAGACATTTTGCCAATGGAACAAGACAATTTACATTTAAAATAAGAAAAGAAACAACTACATTGTCTCATTTCAAGCGCATGTTATCTAAAACGTAATAATATTTTAAGAGTAAAAATACTCATTCCATTGGCAAATCATCTTATTTACCAACTCAAATGAAGATTAAATACACCTAATTTAAGAAATTTTCACTTATTTCTAGACCATTTTTGCAATGTGCTCTCTTAGTTTTCACAATATTCTAAAAACTAGAAATGTTTCAAAACACACTTAAAGAATGGATCAGTTTGATAAAAATACAATCTAGTTGGGTAAATCAATTTTGGTTAGATTGACCAAACAGACACTGACCAAGCCATTGGTTTTAGATCAACTAATTGAATTGAAAATGTAACTGTTGGTTTACTGATCTTACTGTTTGACTGTAGTCAAGGGTTGTGTGTAATGGTTATGGACCTAGAGAACAGTTTCACTGATCCATACATGTACAGCATGCACACTTGGTGTTAACCTCTGTTAACACCCTGACTCCGGCTTTCAATGTTGTCACACTAACTAACCAATATTTTGGTCAAAGTAATCAATTCGTGTTGGTTTTCCCTTTTACCAATATAGATATACCAAATTAGATTGGTTGTTTTAACTAAAACATTGGTTAAAACAACCATATGTATAGATGTATATATGTATATGTATATATGTGTGTGTGGAGGGCTGAATGAAAGGCTCACCCAAGGGTGCCACTGTGTATTTTTCCTGCTTTTTTCCCTTCCAGAAAACAAACACATCTCACAGTGGGGACCACTGTCCATTTGAAAAGGGTAAAGCTGTCACGAGGCCCCATCAGCACTTGTCTATTTTGGGAGAGGTGGATGATGAGTTTGCTGTCTATGACAAAGAGGCCGTGAGCTGAAATACACAGAGTGGGCTATTAAAAGCTCTACCCTCAAGAGTATTTTGACGTTAGCAGGAGCCATGTATGAGTCACACTGAGCCTCCAGTATAGCTGCTGCAGCTGCAGAGCTGGGATTCCCATCTGTGCACACAGAGCCATGAATCCTATCCTTGTTTGCCCCACTGACTGGCAGGGCTTGCAGATAGGAATGCTGGTTTCATTACTTTAGCCCCAGCAAGATGGGCGGGGCCTTAGAGATAAATGCAAATGCTCTGTTTTACCTATTAGAATATTTACTCTTGACATGCCTATGCAGTGTGTAAACAGCCGCTCTGATATCTTTATCAATCCCCCTGGAGAGCACAGATTATTTTAGCATGAGGGAGTTAAATTAGCAATCACAGAGCTGAGATGATCGTACTAATTATATTATCCATGCCTCTTGTGTGCCCCCGTTGCAGGTTGCCTTGGAGACACGAGCGCTGATAGCATGGATGGAGAAAATGCCCTTTGTGCTGGGTGGGAACCTCCAGGGAGGCGAGCTTGTGGTGACCTTCCCATATGACAGAACTCGCTCCCAGGGGGTGACCAGGGAGCAGACTCCCACCCCTGATGAACACGTCTTCCGGTGGCTGGCCTTCTCCTATGCTTCCACCCACCGCCTGATGACTGATGCCAGCCGACGGGTCTGTCACACAGAAGACTTCGCCAAGGAGGACGGAACAATCAACGGGGCGTCCTGGCACACAGCGGCCGGCAGTTAGTGTCCATATCCAGGAGCGGCTTTTCTCACTTATTCTAAAAGTGTTATGAGGGTTTTTTTTTTTGTTTACACCAGAAAAAAACAAAACGGATCAGACAAAAACTTAATCTGAAATTCATTCTGTTGCCTTATTCTAATCACAGCTTTAGACTTTAGGGGAGTAATCAGATACTTACCAGAAATGTGTGTATCTTTTCTGGCAGGTATGAATGATTTCAGCTACCTGCACACCAACTGCTTCGAACTGTCCATGTATGTGGGTTGTGACAAATTCCCCCATGAAAGCGAACTGCCAGAGGAGTGGGAGAACAATCGAGAGTCTCTTCTTGTTTTCATGGAGCAGGTACCAAGTCAACTCAGACCCCCTGATACTCACTTGATCATAGTGCCTTGCTAATGTTTTCGCATCCCATGCAATGTATCATTTTTTAAAATTATATTTTCCCCTTATTTATCCCCCATGTCATTAGTACCCCGTTTCTTTTTGGGGAGCAAAACTGAAATCCACCAGTTTTACTCATCTAGATACATAGATTTTCATACCGTGCTCTTTGGAAAATACCTAAAGTTTAGTCGGATTGGTAGGGGAGCATCTGTGAAAAGAAAATTTCCAGTCGTGCAGCATTTTCTGGATTAAGGTTTAGATTGGATTATTCCAAACACAATTGGCTTTTATAAAAACTACTTAGAATCAGAAAACCTCTGTTATCGTTGTGTTTTCATGATACAATGATAACAAAGGTTTTCTGAACAGTTTGAGACCAGTTGCTGTGTTAAAACAATACAAAAAAATAGAAATAAAAAGTAAAACAATGAAATATTAAATGTGTGTGTTTCACACAAAATAGAATATAGGAAGCAACTATGTAAACTCAATCAGCCTTTGACAGGTTTTCTTTCAGTATTGTCCCATCAGCTCTAACCGAATTCTTTTTAAAGAACAAGCATCCCACAGCATCATGCTGCCACCACCGTCCCCTCAGCAACTAATTTTTTCAATCTGAACAATGAATCTCTGTAGCCTACCATTGAGCTTTTAGCTATTTCAGATTAATATCAGTTGATATCACTTTAAATGGGACAGCTCACATTATTCAGATAATTGACTAAACACTACTCTGTTAGATGCTTTTAAGTCACGCACATAATATGAAAAAAAAAAAAAAGATTTGGGAGATAATTATTTTGTGGAAGGGCTATGGAAGTCCACAATCACAATCTTATCTCCATACCTTCTTTTTTTTTTTTGGCCTTGACATTTTTTTTTCTTCTGCAAAAGCATTAAAATGAGAGTCATTATTGTCATATTGCACTTCCAACAAGTAAAAAATAAAAACTTTTAAAGAAACTTGCTTGTAATGTTGCATTCTCACTTGAAATATAATCTTTAGAGGATTCACAATCCTGCCTCAACATCTTTATTTGAATATTGACTCTGAGTGAGAAGTGGTACATTATGAGCATTATACGATGCTCTGATTTTTACTGCTTTATAAAACATATAGAATACTAAAACAGACAAAGCAAGAAACCGTCCTCAGTAAGTAAATATGTGCATCATGCTTTCCATACATAGGTGCATCGTGGGATAAAAGGCGTTGTAAGGGACCTGCAAGGACGAGGAATAGCCAACGCCATCATCTCTGTGGAGGGGATTGGTCATGATATTCGCACAGGTATTCTTTTGTTTTTGGTCATTTTTTTGATTGAAAATAGTGACTTTATAAGGTCACTCATGAAAATGTCAAAGGAGTTTTATCATGACATTTTTTGACATTCTTTTTATTATTCTGTATTAAAAAAAAACTTAAGATAAGGCCCTGAAAAGGGTTACTCCTCTAGCAAGATGACATTTCAGGCAATGGTGGAATAAAAAAAAACAGGATAAGCGAAAGCCGGCGTTTGCTTAAACGTTGGGGTGTGAGTCCACTTGTGATTTAAGCCAACTTTCTGAAGGCTCTCGACTCTGAATTTTAACTACTGATTAGGAGTTGTTGAGGCGATTTCTTCTAAAGCTTAGAAGTATTCACCCTTTATTAAAGCTTAAGTGGTTTTGTACTCAGAGCATGAAATCAGGTTTTTAAAAGACATTAACCGTTAAAACACATTAACCAAGGGAAAACATTAGGTCCCAGCCTCCTATAGGAAAACTTTAGAGTATTTCCATTGTCATTAAGCCTCATCTGAGACCCTATTAATCCTAATGCTGTTTTTTCTTATTCAGTTAAATTGAAGTGTTTTTTTTTTTTTTTACCTTATTTCTGACAATTACTTAAGAAGTGGCAGATGATTTGGTTTTAAATTCAAAGCAGTTTACAAATAAGAACCATTTAATAATGTTTTGTGAATGAGTGGAATCCAAAGTTTAGGAGTTTATTCTATGCAAACTGAATGCTTGTTTTGCCCATCATGTACAAGAAATCATTAAGTCTTTATTCAAACAGCGCCACAATGGAAAAATGCAATTTTCCTGTTAATAAATAAATTACACTCTTTTCTGAGTTATGGGTTGAACTGACAGTTTAAGTTGTATATTCTAGAACAACTGAGTTAGGCTACCCCAAAATCCAAATTTCACTTTTTTTTTTTTTTTTTGTCTGGCTTCCTAACAGCTGCTGATGGTGATTACTGGCGCCTATTGAACCCTGGAGAATACAGCGTAACAGCCAGAGCTGAGGGCTACAGCTTGGCCACAAAGAAGTGCGAGGTGGGCTATGCAATGGGGGCCACCAGGTGTGACTTCACAATTGGACGGAGTAATTTGTTCCGAATCAGAGAAATAATGGAAAAATACAAAAAGCAGCCAATCAGGTTGCCTGTAAGGCAGTTTCAGACTCACAAGCCCAGAGAGAGATATTTAGGAACATAAATATAACATGAGGAAGCATGGGGAGAATTTAGACTAAAACATCTGCCTGGGACTGGGGGGGAGTCTAGGCAGATGTTTGGAAATGCAGTAAAGTATGTCCAATTTTTTCAAAATGGATGCAAAATTAATTCACATTTATAGATTCAAATTATGACTGATTTTAAATGTGAGCAGTATTTGATTGTTGTTCTCTCATAGACATACAGTACCTTTCTAATAGCTATGCTTAACCTCCCACTGTCAAAGTCAGTGAAATGATTCTTATCCATAATACTGCAACTAAATCTAAACAAGGGAGCAAAAGTCACATCAAAGCTTTTTATTTTCTTTATTCGAACATGAACTGTGGGTGATCAATGGAAAGGCCAGCACAAATTTGCAATTATGTACATAAAGGTGCAGCACAATAAATTAGTATTGTGCAAAACACACTGTGACAAATTTTAAAGTATTATTTCAGTCCATTTTGTCAAATACAGCTTATAACTTATTATAAATGCTTTTATGCCAGTTGGTTGTCCTACTTTGTTTAAACCAAACTTTTTCCCTCCATAGAACCAAAAAAAAAAAACTTTATGTAATGTTAAATTATTTAATAAAAACTGGATTTTGGCCTTTTTTGAGCATTGTGTTATAACAACCAAGGATAACTGAGATTAACATTTGAAATATATAAGCTTGCGTGTAACAATCGCAGATTAAATATCTAGTTAATATTTTTGAATGAAATGTCTTCAACAAATATTAATAACATCCTAATTTATTGGGGTGCACCTGTGCCTGAGTTATGTAACACGGTGGTATTTAAATCGTCATAGAAGCTTTGCTATCTGCACTTTTTTATTGTATATTTTAAAAACATTTTGCTCTTTAGTTGTTTATTTTAATTTTAATAAATATTTGCACAAATGAAAGAAGCTAAATGTGTCTTGTGTTTTGATTTTACTAATGAAAAGATATTTATCCCTATCAGAGTTAGTTTGCAGCTCATTTCTTTGGTAAACATTCAGCTTATTAAATGATGTAAATATCAGAAATTATTTCAAAGAAAGTATACACTGTCAAAATTAAAAGATATAAATAAATATAAGAGACAAAGAATCTTTCACACAATAAACACTTTCAAGGGTTTTTAAATGTGCTCAAATCACAAAAATGAGAAGTGATTATATAAAAGCTTTAGTTAAGGACTCTGTGTCCTTTATACTTCAACAATTTGTCAAATTTTTAATGTACAATGTATACATATTCTAATATTTGCTTAACAACTATTATATACTATTTTAAAATTTATCTAATGGTTGTGCTGAAGTGGGAGAAAAGGGACATTAAAAGTATAGTTTTGTCTTCTAGATATAAGAACTGATCCCAGCTTAGGAAGCTTTCAATGAAAAATGAGTAGAACATCACTAGAGAAAAATAAAACCCTTAATATTAATGATTCATGACTCTGTGGTTAAGGAACCTAAGTTCTATTTATTAGAATAGAAATAATAAATCACCAAAATTGTTAAATAAGCATTTATGGCAATATCTAAACAAACTTTTTTCCTAAGTCAGAGTTAAAAAATGTTAAATGTTAAAAACTTTTACAATAAGTAACATACATTGCAACCGAAATCCATCCATTTAAATACTGCAAGTTAAGTTTTTTTCATTCCACAAATAAATGATCTCAATTTCATGAGGTATTTCTTTTTTTAGGCAGACATACTTTAATCCACATCTTTAATTCTGGTTATTAAACGGATTTTCCTAATGAGAAACAAACATTCAAAGCTAGAATATTACATTACAGCAGAGATATAGACAGTTTTAATACAAAAAAGTGGGCTAAAATAAAACTGTTTAAAGGTTGTTTTTTCACTCTGAAAACTTTGATTTCACAAAACTAATCGATGGCAACAAAAATATATATTTAAACTTTTGCAGTAACCATTACTGAAAAGTAAGTGAGAGTCTATCATTGTTTATTTATTAAATTAGCGCTACTTTGATAAATTAAACTAATGGATCCTTTGAAAAAGATATCGAAAGGCATATCATTTTAAGCATTGGTTTGGATCAACTTCATTACAAACAAAACCAGAAAATGAATCAGGGCTAATACATTTGCAGTTGCAAACTTAAGTACAATTTACATTAATTCTTACTTATCCTGCCTGTATCCTGCTTGACTGAACATTTAAGATTGGAAAAAGCAACTCAGCAATGTTCCCATAAGTTGACTGTAATGACTTTGGGTAGTTTAAAAGATCACATATGATTTCTGCAGAAGTGGGATTGCATCTTCAGGGTGTCAGAATCGAAGGACTCTCATTATCAGAGCTCTGCCGGGGCTTTTACGGATCACTGACTTATACTGACAACTCTGGCTTCCTTCTGTACGGCCACCATCTAATTAGGGGAAGACTCCAGCCTCTCTTATCCATCCTCAAAAATGTATCGAACAAAGCCTCCCACACCTGTCATCGTCTCAAAGCGTTGGACTGTGTGAGACTTGTCAGAGTGTTAATATTACAATGCTTTCTGCAGCTCAACATCAAAGTCTGGGTGTGAGGCAAGAGAAACACATTTGTAAATCAGAGGGAGAGTGAAGTCTTTTCTGCTTTTGGTCATTAAATATTAATTTGGTGATAAAACATCATGGTTTTTGATGTTTTTGCAGCAAAAATAGAAAGCTAGGTTTAATTACCAGCAGCTCTAATAAAGGAGCTAAAGTTTGACTTTTAAAGCGGCATGTCAGAAATCTTTTCATTGTCACCTCTATCAACTGACCGTGCTCATCTTGGCACAAAGAAACGGGCCTCACCCAACTATACACTGCAGTTTTTGTGAACCCTCCCCTTTCAATAATGATTCAGTTACACAAAATCTGCAGAAAAAATCTTTACAATTGTGTGTGTGTTTTTTTTAAATGCTCTCCTAAAATTCTTGGTCATTTTTCTGCCCAACAAAAATATAATTTAATCAAAAAGAATAATTGATGACTGTTGTGAATTTGGACTGATTTTATTTATAAGCAACTTTAATAAAGATAAAATAAGGAAAAGATCTGGTCCTGAATGTGTTTAAAACAAAACATATGCTGTTAAAGTGTCTATTCTCAGCAGTTCTAAGAGCCTAGAGCGGAGGTCTTCAACAGGGGGTCTGCCACCCCTAGGGGGTCCACTGAGGTACTGCATGGGGTCACAAAAGTTTTGGTTGATTAGACTTTTTTTAATATCCCCCCTGCAATTTTTTCCACTAATTGAAATGTCTTTAAATACGCATTAACATGAATTCAACACACCGTAGTAAAAAGATAAATGTAAGCAGAATATGTCTTTCAGTCATCAATGCACACATTCAGCGACACACAGGAGCTCTTTCAAACTGGGCACCGTTTCATTCACAACACCTGTCCCATCAACCAGGAATCAGAATCAGAAATACTTTAATAATCCCAGGGAGAAATTACTTTCGTTACTTTACTCCATATGTAATAGACTGACTATAGGACCAATTTGATATAACACAATTTCGTACAATATATATATTTAGGGTCTCCACTCCATCTCGCCATCAGTCTGGGGGTCCTTTGCCTTGAAAACGTTGAAGACCCCTGGCCTAGAGGACAAGTTATTGTCCCGACATTTACCATACTGCTGCAGACAATTGTAAGCTGTAGGTAAAGCTGCTGTCAGTGGAGGTGGGGTGATAAGGAGGGGTGGGCTGGGTTCTGCAATATCCTGTCTGGGTAGTATGGTCGCTCCACTAGACTTAGACTGAGACAAACTTTATTGTCATTATGTATACACAGAGTGTATACAAAAGGAAATTTCGTTTTGTACGGCCGCATGACATTTCCATTTCTTAAAGTGTAGCAGTGATCAAATGTAAACATTGGGGGGAAAAAAGAAAACATGGAGCAGAAAAGCGCATTGATAAGGTCAGTTTGATGCAGAGACTACTGTATGACATGATTTAGAGTTTTTTCAGCATTCAGCTTTTTTCAGTTTTTTTCTGTTTTTCCCAGTTTTTTCAACATTCAGCTGTCTGATAGCAGTGGAGAAGAAGCTGTTTTGGAATCAGTTAAACCTGCATTGAATGCTGCATAGCCTCTTCCTGCAGGGCAGCATGGAGAACAGCCCATGGTGGGGGTGTGAGGGGTCATTGATTAATGTTACGGGCTTGGGACACGCAACACTGGGATGAAATGTCTTTTATGGAGGGGAGAGGAGTCCCAATGATCTCTGCAGTTCTTACTACTCTCCTCACCTTCTTCCAGTCTATTAGCCCAGTGTTCAGATAGAGGCAGGTTTCTTTGGATATTGCTCAAGTCTTTGATATTTTGAAGCACTTAACTGCGTAGCACGAATGTGAACCAACAAGAAGCATTTCTGAGGTGCTTCTTATTCCAAAAAGTAAATCAAAATCCATTCAGTTTAAGATTAGCAGCTGTAATTATTGAAAAAATTTAGATGTGCTCAGTTTCAGATGGTTAATGTCTCACAATGAGAGCTTAGTTGATTAGCTTATTTCTACGAGTTTAGTTTTAGTAATTACATTTTTCTAACCTAGTATGCAATGCATGTCAAAAGTAAACATTTTTGTTTGAAAGATTAAATACATAATTAGCTCACTTTTTATTATTTTATTCATTCTGTGGCGTTTTCTTTTTTTAAAACCACTGATAAACAAACTTATTAACACAAATAAACTCCAATACAAGTAAATGCATAACTTCAGACATTTCAGAAAGTAAAAAGAAAAATATTTATCTTATTATTTTATACAGCAAGGAAAATGATTTTGTATACCCTAAACGAGAAAAATGTATGCTATAGAAATAATAGCATGAAATAATGGTTATTTCTGTTTGCTCAGCTTATGCAAGTATCTTGATTTAACTGCATATTGAGAATTTATTATACCCATTTTTAGCCACAGAGTTGAACAGAAAGCTAATACGGCAGAAGGAGGGAGAAGTGTTAGAGTCAGCAGCACCTGCAACGTTCTTCTGTATGTAGGGCACAGAAACTTCTGGGTGTTTTGTTTAATTGAAAAACAACTAGTTTTATATCTTAAATAAAAATATCTAAAATAAAGAGTTATTCTTTCTTGTGTGTATATTATTGCCATTATTTTTTTTTTTTTTACTTTTATGATAAAAAGAGATTAAATATCTGAAGATAGACTCAAACTAATTAAAAAAATGAGTCCCTGCATCACAGCAATACATTGTTATAAACTATTATCAGAGTTTAGAGTTTTGTCTCGATGCATTAAGTGCTTCAGTGAACCTATTCCTTTCTTTTACAGGGAGAGGTGTTCACTTTTCACTTCGAGTTGAGGTCTATTTGTCTCCCAGGGGGATCAGTTGTCCGAGCTTGTTGAAGCCAACTATAATTAAGCTGTGTGTCAGGGTCAGAGCCACCCATCTGAGGATAATCGTTGATTCCTGGGGAGGTAATCAGTGTACAGAACTTCAACCATTTCCTGCCGTGGCTATCTCAGCAAGCCGCTGGTGTTGTTCCATTACTACCTGGGCTTTAGTGTGAAGGGAAAAATGGCCTCCCTGTGACTCAGCATGATTGCAGGCGGATTCTCTGTAGGTATATAAAAGTTACATAAGTATTCTCGAACCATTTCTGCAAGCTCTCTCTGGTTTATTTGAAGACAAATCAACATCTCATATGGTATCATTAATTCCTCAACTATTTGATACATTGCAAAAGTAATAATATCCATTTTTTATTAATAGTCTCATACTTAATGCATATTATTACAATTATATGTGACAGACCAACTTAAGAAGAGCACATACAGTATACGTCGAATTAAAATTTGACATGGCTTCACAGTTCCTTCAGAAACACAGTCAGTCAGTCAGTCAGTCAGTCAGTCTGT